AATAAGAATGAAAATCAGAAACCAAATAAACCACCCACTCAACCTAAACCAACTAATTCTCCTGCATCACCCACACCCACTACTGAACAAATCAATCAGACTGAACAAAAATTAGACCAAGCCCAAGCCAATAACCTTAGTGAAGAAGAATTAATCAACCTTATCAAACAAACCTCCGAGACCGTTAAACACAGTGGAGATGAAAACTTAAAAAAGAAAAAAGAAGCAGCGGAAAAAAAATTAAGTAAAGATAAATTAAGAGAACTCATTCGGGAGGAAATCCACCAAGAACTAACTGAAAATGGAGTAAAACCGGAGCAATTTGACCCCCAAGTTAAACAAAAACTGGACGAATTGAATAATAATAATAATAATAATAATAATAATAATAACGACCAGGTCATTCGTACCGAAGTACTCAATGAAATAGGTAAGCAAAAATTATGGTCGTTAATCAACACCTTAGAACAAGCCTTAAAAGCAGGTCAAAAAACTAAAGTAAAAAACCACCTTCAAGCCTTACAACAATTCATTAACAGTAAAATTGATTACAAACAAAATGCTTATGCTAAACAAAAAACTAAAGTGCAAAGGTTATTAACTCAAGCTAACCAGCAACTCAACTCTCCAAACCAAACTAAGACTAATTTCTTCCGTTCCAACAACCCCCTCTTATGATTATCACTCCTGGGTCTGGTTATAGTACTGGGAATAGGCTGATTAATCATTAGAGTTCGCCGCCGTCGGAGAATAAGGGTCTAACCGCCTCCGAGCCTTATTTGCGCAAAGTAAATTTAAACCAAACTAACAAGATATTAGACTTATACATAAGGAATTAGTTAAATATTAAAAAAGGTAATTAGTAGTTAGTTATTATATTATTAATTTTAAAAAAGAAGTAAGTAGAGTTAAGGACAAATAGGTAAAAATAGTAGGTGATTATATAGGACTTCGCACCAGTTGCTGATGCTATATTATTAATTTTAGTTTTTTTTGACACTAGATTATTGTCAAATCTTAATGCTGTTCTATCACAGTAAAATATTAATATATCTATGTCATCGATTCACAATTACTATAAAAATATGCCTAATTCTACTGCAGATGAGAGTTTAGAAAGAGCTTTGAAAAGAACTAAAGAAAACAAGAAAGAAGAAAATCCATATGATGAAATTGATTTGTTTATCAAAAACACACTTAAAAATCCTAAGTAGATTATGAACAAACAAGAATTTAAAATACTTACTGAAAAGATTTTGGAGGAAAAATTTCCAGAATTAAAGTCATCTGTTCAATTTTTCCAAGATGGGAAGTGAGTGCTAAGCACACCTATATGATTAAAAAGAGTAGATAAGCAGTATGCCGAAGAACTCAAAAGGTTACTAGAAAAAGATTTGCGGAACAAATCTCGGAATGAGATAATTGACTTTACGACTGATACTATCCGCCATTTTTTTTCTTCCAAAATTGAGTGTTCATTCAATGCTGAAAAGCAAGAATTCAAAATTTTAACTCCCAATGCCAAACAGTGAAACCTTACTAATCACCTCTCTGAAATTCTCCAAGAGTTAGAAGAAATAATAGTAAGTAATGATGATGACATAGAGAGAGAGAGAGAGAGAGAGAGAGAGAGAGAGAGAGCAAAAATGGGTTATGAACTGTCCTGAATGCTCTCAACAGTTCATTTGTTCCAACAATCGCAAAGATTTAGCCCAAACTAAACTGGAAGAAGAGTTAAAAACTCACAACCAGAAAATTGAAGAGATAATTGCTGAGGCAATGCCAGAGGAGGGAAAAATTGATTAGGTAAGATATTAATGAGAATCAGAAATAAAATAGTTGAAACAAGAGGAAAATATAAACCCACTACGGAACCGAAAAAAACGAAAACTGGCGAAGACGACACTACACACAAAAACCAAGCAAAACAAACCCTCATTAAAAACAATATCTTAGAAATCAAAAATAAATTATCTAGTGCTAAAATCACCCCTGAACAAGCCATCCAAATCTTAGGTAATACTTGAGAAACCAATTATCGAATGAGTTGAGTAAACACTTCTGAGGAAGAGATTAATAGCTCTAAACAAAGAGCCTTAGAAGAAATTAATGAGTTCATTAAAAACTCCAATAATAGTAATGGGAATAACAATAATGGACAGAATAAGAATGAAAATCAGAAACCAAATAAACCACCCACTCAACCTAAACCAACTAATTCTCCTGCATCACCCACACCAACTACTATGAAAGGAAAAATTAAGGAAGTAAAAAATAAGTCAATAGACAAAAATGGGTATCCAATCCCTAGGAGCGAAAAATGTTTTAAGTGTAAGAAAAAATTCTGGCTCACCTTTGTTTTTTCAAAAAAAGACTACTCACTTAAAAATTCTTGATTTTATTACACCGAAAGAAACAAAGACCAAAATAAGTTCGCCTGTTCCCCATGTTTGCGAAATATTTATCTAAAAGATAAAGAGTTCTATTTATCAAATATTAAGAATATAAGAAAAAAGAGATTGCTTTCTAGTTATATCAGCACAAATTCTATTTAGTCTAAGTAGTTAAGAAGTTTCTTCTAATTTTTTCCTTTTTCGTGGCGGAGCATTTAACAAAACCTTTAATGCTTCATCAAACTCTTCTTTACTTACTGTTTTTGAGCAGACATCTTCAAAAAAGCGGTTTCTTTCTAAAAGTTTTAAGTGTTTCAAAGACCACTCCTCCCTTTCAGAAATTAATTTAAAGACTTTTACTGAAAGAGTATAAAGTTTTAAGATTTTTAGTAATTCAGGAATTTTTTGGACTTGCTGATAACCAGTGGCTTCATCCACTAGGGCAATAACTCCAACTTTGGCAAAGGATCTTAACAACATTTCGTGTTGCTCAACAATTAGTCTTCGTTTGGGTGATAATTTAACCTCATTTTTTATTGCTTTTAAGCAAATGTCAAATAAATCTTCTAACATAGTTGCTTCAAGACCGATAATAGGAGTAGACTTATCCTGAGTAAAAAAAGTTTGAGACCTTTTTTCTAAATGTTGCCTGTATCAACCTATTGGTTTTTGTTTAGAATAACCAGCTCCAAGTTTCCTTAAAACTTCTTGAGTTTCTTTGGCAGATAAAACTCTAGTTCCATTTTCTAGGACATAGCAAGGAATTTTAACTCCTACTAGGTTTATTTCGCCCTCATGTTTTATTATGTTTGTGTTCATATTATTTATATTGATGATTTAGATGATTCAAACTCCTTATAAGTTATTTTTTTACCCAAAAATGTTGAAAGTGCTAGTTCAAATCTATCGTATTCAGTATAGTTTCTTGTGTTATAGCGAAAGGTGAACTCATTAGCATAGTCTTGTAAATATTTATCGCTTATATTGTTGTGATAAGTTCCGTTAATAGTTACTTTAAAATGAGGAGATCAAACACCCTCTATGCGATTAGTAGTGACTTCTCCATTAACATATTGCTTGGGTTTGGCACTATGATTAACCATTTTATGATTATACCTTTTAGATAAATTACTATGTCGATAGTGTTCATCAGTATGAATTGCGGAACCCTTTTCAACATGCTTATTGATTATTGGTTCAAGGGTAGTTAGTTTAGTGTCGGAAGTAACTTCAGTGATTAAATAACCGCCTTTTTCCAACATCCCCAATATAGGAGTTTTATCTACACAACTTCTTCCTTGGCAATTAAGAAATTTCTTATCTCAGTGTCTATTTGGATTAGAACCACCAACAAGGGTTTCATCTGCCTCTACTACACCTTTTAATTTTTCTTTAACAAGGTTGAACTGGTCAAGATTTCCACGGATATCTTCTAGTAAATTCCAAGCTGTTGCTTGAGTAACATCAATTTTTCTAGCTAACTCGCAAGAGGAAATGCCTTTCTTAGATAAGAAATGATAAAAGGATCAAAGTCAATCAATTAATGGTATCTTGGTATGTTTAAGTGGAGTTCCAGTCTTAACATCAAATCGTTTTCTTGTTTTACTACATTTATAATAGCCATCAGCAAGTTTTCAAACCTTAGCAGTTGGATCATAGGGAGAAGTTATATTTCCGCCTCATCAGAGTTGTTCTAAATAGTTGATACAAGCTTGTTCATTAGGAAGAGTCAATAGGAAGTGTAGTAAATTCTTAGGCTTAATCATCATGCTATTTTTTTGAACTGATTTTTTTATTCCCCTTTTTCAAGAACAAGTAAACAATTATTCCGATGACTAATATACCTCCGATTATGCTACCGCCAACAATTCAAGGCAATTTACTAGATGGATTGCTATTAGGTTGGTTTTCTTTCTGTAATTTCTTTAATCTTTCAATAGCTTTATCTATTCGTTTTTGGTCATTAATTATCTGATAAAAAAGAGAGTTGATTTTCTTTTCATCTTGTAGAGACTGTAAAAGAATAGGGTTAGGAGTTAGTATTTCCTCAGCAGTAATAGTCTTTTTCAGCAAGTTTTCGGCTCCATCTTTTTGAGGTTGGGTTTTCAATAAAGGAGATTGGAGAAGAGTAGTTTTTTGTTGGTTAACTTTCTGACTAATCGAACTTCGCTGTTGCGGAGTAATTCCTTGGTTAATTTGTTGCTGTTCTTCGGATTCCTGCTTTTTAACTGCTTGCTCTAAAATAGGGAGGGCTTTTGTTATTTCATCTTTTTGCTGATGATAGCCAAAATATCCATCTCACTGGCTAGGAACACTTTGAATATTCTGAAAAATACTAACAATTTTCTTTTTGTCAGCTAATGGTAAGTTCTCATCCTTAGCCTTTTTACATAACTCAGCCCATTTTAAAACTGGACAATGTGGTAAGTGAAAACCAATAAATTCTAGACAGTTTTTGTGTTTTTCTCTTTCGGCTTGCTGTCCTTGGATATCGCCTTTTTTATGCCATTTCTTACTTCCGACCCCACAAGAAATACAGAAACTAACTACATAATCCTTTTGGAGATGAGTGGACGGTTCTCAATCGTGAAGAGGATGTTGGTTTTTGGGATTTTTTGAATTATCATTTAAAGGAGATGTTGGGGGGGGGGGGGGGGGGGGGGGGGGGTATGGTTCGTGTGTTTGGGGTGGTGTTTTTATAGATAACTCTAATAAAGTT